TTGTTGGTAGCTCAGTGGTAGTAGGTTCAGCGGTTGTTGTTGGTAGCTCAGTGGTAGTAGGTTCAGCGGTTGTTGTTGGTAGCTCGGTGGTAGTAGGTTCAGCGGTTGTTGTTGGTAGCTCGGTGGTAGTGGGTTCAGCGGTTGTTGTTGGTAGCTCCGTGGTAGTAGGTTCAACGGTTGTTGTTGGTAGCTTTGTGGTGGTAGGTTCAGCAGTTGTTGTTGGTAGCTCGGTGGTAGTGGGTTCAGCGGTTGTTGTTGGTAGCTCCGTGGTAGTAGGTTCAACGGTTGTTGTTGGTAGCTTTGTAGTAGTAGGTTCAGCAGTTGTTGTTGGTAGCTTTGTGGTAGTGGGTTCAGCGGTTGTTGTTGGTAGCTCCGTGGTAGTAGGTTCAGCAGTTGTTGTTGGTAGCTCGGTGGTAGTAGGTTCAGCGGTTGTTGTTGGGATTTTAACAACGATCACCCTAAACATTTATAAAACACACTGTTTACCATTTAAAGTGGTATTAAAATAATGTAATTATTTTCCTTAACGTTTAACTTGTTTGAACATCAATATCCTAAACATTTATTGTCAGATTCACGAACTTGTTATTTATTTTGTAACTGAACAATGGTGTTTCTACTGTTATACCTGTATTGTTCTGTTACCCAATTCTTTAGTTAAACAATAACACTTGTTGTCTTTCTCCTCAAAAGCCACTCTGTTGGAACCGTTTAAAGATTTTTCATTGGTCACAAGATGTTAGGGAGGATTGTATTAGGTTTCGTTTATACACGGTTACTTTAGTAAACGAACATTAGAATACGTGAAGCCAACAGCTATGTGATTTTGTGATCCGTAAGTAAGGTACATTATATTATATTTTAATGTTAATTTATTAATTGGTGTCGCTTTCAATGTTAAGTGCAATTAATCTATAATTACTATAATTTTGTTATGGAAATTGTTTTCCATGTGTTATATTTTTATGTACCTTGGGTTTAACTTGTGTATGTGTTATATTTTTATGTACCTTGGGTTTAACTTGTGTATATGTTATATTTTTATGTACCTTGGGTTTAACTTGTGTATGTGTTATATTTTTATGTACCTTGGGTTTAACTTGTGTATGTGTTATATTTTATGTACCTTGGGTTTAACTTGTGTATATGTTATATTTTATGTACGATGACGAGGATTCCACTTTGAGACTAATAATGGTTGGAGACAGCTTGAATGGGTAATGAAGAAAAACTTTAATATAAGTTTAACACAACAGCAAATGTACAACATTTCGACAAGGTTTTGTCATCATCAGGTTTTCTTCATTACCATTGTTATATTTTATATACGTTTTGAAAGATATATATAACTCAAGAAAGTTCTGTAAGAATGATTTAAAAAAATATTTTCAGTATTACAAAAAAAACTTGCTTGCAAACAAAAAGAAAGTAAAACAAATAATTTATTTATACTGTAATATATAAACATCTCCACACAAACCTCAGTTAACATTATATAGTGTTCAAGTATTAGAACAGTTAACATTATATAGTGTTCAAGTATTAGAACAGTTAACATTATATAGTGTTCAAGTATTAGAAGAGTTAACATTATATAGTGTTCAAGTATTAGAACTGTTAACATTATATAGTGTT